AGCCACAGCCTCAGCCTCAGCCTGCCTCAGCCTCAGCCTGCCTCAGCCTCAGCCTCAGCCTGCCTCAGCCTCAGCCTCAGCCTGCTTCAGCCTCAGCCTCAGTCTGCCTTCAGCCTCGGCCTCAGCCTCAGCCTGCCTCAGCCTCAGCCTGCCTCAGCCTCAGCATCAGCCTGCCTCAGCATTCAACATGTGGCCCGGGAATGGAGTTCTGGGAACTCGAAGAACACGAAGGGGCCTACAGTTGGCTCGGGGCATTCAAAATTATGCCCAGGAATGGAGTTCTGGGAACTCGAAGACCACGAAGTGGCATACAGTTGGCTCTGGGCATTCAAAATGTGGCCCGGGAATGGAGTTCTGGGAACTCGAAGACCACGAAGTGGCCTACAGTTGGCTCCGGGCATTCAAAATGTGGCCCGGGAATGGAGTTCTGGGAACTCGAAGAGCACGAAGTGGCCTACAGTTGGCTCCGGGCATTCAGAATGTGGCCGGGGAATGGAGTTCTGGGACCTCGAAGACCACGAAGTGTCGTAAACTGTTGGCTAAACAAGTCCCCGGCACCGGCATTCCCCCGGATCGCGCCCAGCCCCAGGGGCGCCATCATGATGTTCTCGTTTGACCCAATAGTAACCTATCAGTCTTCGTGTTAATGAAAATGGTTCAAAATAGTAAAAGCATTATCCTGGCAAAGGGGCCCCCATATCCTACGCGATGTGTAGGAGCATATCTGGAAGCATTCCCCTTAAGATTCAGATGAGAATCCAGTTGTAGAATTCTGTTGTTCTCGCAGTCGTAGTCGCATTCGCGATGACAGTCGCAGCGGCAACGGCAGTCGCAGTCACAGCCTCAGCCTCAGCCTGCCTCAGCCTCAGCCTCAGCCTGCCTCAGCCTCAGCCTGCCTCAGCCTCAGCCTCAGCCTGCCTCAGCCTCGGCCTCAGCCTGCTTCAGCCTCAGCCTCAGTCTGCCTTCAGCCTCGGCCTCAGCCTCAGCCTGCCTCAGCCTCAGCCTGCCTCAGCCTCAGCATCAGCCTGCCTCAGCATTCAAAATGTGGCCCGGGAATGGAGTTCTGGGAACTCGAGGAACACGAAGTGGCCTACAGTTGGCTCCGGGCATTCAAAATCATGCCCAGGAATGGAGTTCTGGGAACTCGAAGACCACGAAGTGGCCTACAGTTGGCTCCGGGCATTCAAAATCATGCCCAGGAATGGAGTTCTGGGAACTCGAAGACCACGAAGTGGCCTACAGTTGGCTCGGGGCATTCAAAATGTGGCCCGGGAATGGAGTTCTGGGAACTCGAAGAGCACGAAGTGGCCTACAGTTGGCTCCGGGCATCCACAATGTGGACCGGGAATGGAGTTCTGGGAGGTCGAAGAGCACTGGGACCTCGAAGACACGAAGTGTGTAACTGTCTGCTTATACCTAGTCACCCTGCATTCCCCGTGATCGCGCCCAGACCCACCCTGGGGGTCATGATGTTCTCTTTTGACCATACTAGAATCTATCAGTCTTCGCTGTTAGGGAATGTTTCACAAATAGTCAAAAAATTATCCTGGCTAAGCAAACCAAAATTGACACTGATCGCAGCATTTCTGGAAGCATTCCCCTAAGATTCAATGAGAAGCCAGTTGTAGGATTCTGCTGTTACGCAGTCGTAGTCGCATTCGCGATGGACAGTCCGCCGCAGTGCAAACGGCAGTCGCAGTCACAGCATCAGCATCAGCCTGCATCAGCCTCAGCCTCAGCCTCAGCCTCAGCCTGCCTCAGCATCAGCCTGCCTCAGCCTCAACCTCAGCCTGCCTCTGCCTCAGCCTCAGCCTGCTTCAGCCTCAGCCTCAGTCTGCCGTCGGCATCGGCCTCAGCCTCAGCCTGCCTCAGCCTCAGCCTGCATCAGCCTCAGCCTCAGCCTCAGCCTGCCTCAGCATCAGCCTGCGTCAGCCTCAGCCTCAGCCTGCCTCAGCCTCAGCCTCAGTCTGCTTCAGCCTCAGCCTCAGTCTGCCTTCAGCCTCGGCCTCAGCCTCAGCCTGCCTCAGCCTCAGCCTGCCTCAGCCTCAGCCTCAGCCTCACCCTGCCTCAGCATCAGCCTGCCTCAGCCTCAGCCTCAGCCTGCCTCAGCCTCAGCCTCAGCCTCAGCCTGCTTCAGCCTCAGCCTCAGTCTGCCGTCGGCCTCGGCCTCAGCCTAAGCCTGCCTCAGCCTCAGCCTGCATCAGCCTCAGCCTCAGCCTCAGCCTGCCTCAGCATCAGCCTGCTTCAGCCTCAGCCTCAGCCTGCCTCAGCCTCAGCCTCAGTCTGCTTCAGCCTCAGCCACAGTCTGCCTTCAGCCTCGGCCTCAGCCTCAGCCTGCCTCAGCCTCAGCCTGCATCAGCCTCAGCCTCAGCCTCAGCCTGCCTCAGCATCAGCCTGCCTCAGCCTCAGCCTCAGCCTGCCTCAGCCTCAGCCTCAGCCTGCCTCAGCCTCAGCCTCAGTCTGCCTTCAGCCTCGGCCTCAGCCTCAGCCTGCCTCAGCCTCAGCCTGCATCAGCCTCAGCCTCAGAATCAGATGCTGCAGCATTCAAAATGTGGCCCGGGAGTTGGTTTGGGAACTAGCTGCCTCAGCATCAGCCTGCCTCAGCCTCAGCCTCAGCCTGCCTCAGCCTCAGCCTCAGCCTCAGCCTCAGCCTGCTTCAGCTTCAGCCTCAGTCTGCCTTCAGCCTCGGCCTCAGCCTTAGCCTGCCTCAGCCTCAGCCTGCATCAGCCTCAGCCTCAGCCTCAGCCTAGTTGAGGGATGCGTCGATGCGTCGCCGACTTTATCCTGAGAGCAGCGTTCTCAGTTTAGTACGTCGTGGTCAAGCCCTGTACCCTTACTTGTCCCTGTGGGCGCCTTTCCAGCCGTCTTCTGGCCGTCTGTGGCGCCTTGGATCGATCGTTCGGCGAGTCGAAGCCCTCTTGGACAGTCAGGGTGTCCTCTCGGGGCGCCCTTGCTCGTCCTGGGTCCTCCTCGGGCCCGACAAGGTGACGCGGGAAGACGCGCCGGGGCCAGGGGGGCATGCGGGCGGCCTTGAGATATTTAAGAATGTGAGGTCTGGGCCCTTTAAAGAGTCCCCAAGATATTGAGGGCGGAGGCTTATGGGATTCGGCCAAGGATTTGCGGACGCTCCAACTCGTGCCTCAGGGGGCGGTGGCGGGAAATTATGGATGGATGGTAGGGGAGGAAGTTACAGGTGTATTAAGCCTTGAGGCAAGTTCTGGGTTCTATGAAATTGTAGGTGGTTGCGTGGATATGTGGAGGCGGATGGGGGGGAGAAGGACAATGAGCATTCAGTGGTGAACTTTGATGGTTAGGACGATGATACTGCTCATGATGATTCAGAGAATGATGATGATTATGCTTATGATGCTGATGGTCATCATGATAATAATGCTGATACTGGTCCTTGATGATGATGATGATGATGATGATGATGATGATGCTGATGATGTTTTTGATGCTGATGGCGCTGCTGCTGATGATGATGGGGTGCTTTTGACAGCGATGATGATGCTGCTTCTGATGGTGATGCTGACGATAATGATGACGGGGGTTGTGATGATGATGATAATGATTATGCTGCAGATGATGATGATTATGGCGATTATGTAGGTGCTGATGATGGTGATGAGGATACTGCTGATGATTATGAAGGCGGTGGCAATGATGATACTTGTTCACGGTTTTGATGATGCTGTTGATAATGCTGATGCTGCTGGTGATGGTGCTGCTGATTAGAATAATGACGAGGACGATGATGCTGATGATGACGATGATGCTGCTGCTGCTGATGATTGTGATGCTGATGAGGATGACGGGTGTGATTATGATAATGTTGCTGATGATGGTGGTGCTGATGATTATGTTGGTTCTGATGATGAGGATGGTGACGATGCTTTTGATGATGGTAACGGTGGTGAGGACGATGCTGATGATGATGATGTTGATGATCGTGTTGCTAGTGATAATGACGATCCTTATGTTGATGATGGTGATGACGATGATGATGATGATGATGATGATGATGATGGTGCTGCTGATGCTGATGATGATGGTGATGGCGGTGATGCTGCTGCTGATGATGATGCTGATGATGATGATACGGGGGATGATGAGGAGGAGGACGATACTGATGATGATGATGATGATGATGATGATGATGAGGATGAGGCGGATGATGCTGATGCTTATGCTGCTGCTGTTCATGATGATGATGCTCATGATTGTGGTGATGATGACGATGGTGATCACGATGACGATGACGATGGCGATGCCAATGATGATCATGCTGCTGATGACGATGATAATGATGATGCTGCTGATGATGATGATTCTGATGCTGATGAGGACTATGATGATGACGAGCATGACGACGACGATACTAATGATGATAATGATGATGATGATGATGATGATGATGATGATGATGATGAGGATGATGAGGATGATGATGCGGATGATTATGATGAGGATGATGACCATGTTGATGCTGCTGCTGCTGATGATGATGATGATGGTGATGAGGATGATGACGATGATGACCATGATGATGATCATGATGATGACGATGATTATGATAATGATGATGATGATGATGCTGATGATGATGATGAGGAGGATGAATATGATGAGGATGAGGATGAGGATGATGATGATGACGACGATGATGATGATGATGATGATGATGATGATGATGATGATGATGATGATGATGACGATGATCATGATGATGATGATGATGATGATGATGATGATGATGATGATGATGATGATGATGATGATGATGATGATGATGACAATGATGATTACGATGAGTCTGAACACGACGAGCATACTGCTGATGATGAGGAGGAGATGGTTGACAAGGGGGTCGGGGAGGGGTCATGAGGGTTTCAAGGATGTATGATGGTGCAGGGGTAGGGGAAGGAGGATGTCCCTCCCTTTTGTGATCCTACGCAGAGTCGGGGGATGGCGTGAGTTTTCTCTGCTTTCGCCTCCAGGCAGAAGCGGCAAGGGCAAGGGCGGCGGTGCCATAGGCGTCGCGGAGCCAGTCTTCGTAGGCTTCGAGTCGCTGGATATGGAGACAGGCGCCCTTGCCTTTCTTTCTCAAGTGGTACTCCAAGTTGCTTAGAAAGCATGTATGTGTGAGTGTGTGTGTGTGCTCTCCGCTCCCCCCCTTTCCGGCTCACACTTATATCGTCATTTCTTATTTCTCCCATGCCACAGTCCATCGCATGAGTTTACCCGTAATAGGTGGACTCGTGTAGCGTTTCTGCGTGAATTTGCGATCGCCTGTCTCGCGCCACGGTCACGCCGTGGTGAGGTTCAGTGGTCGCGCGCTCCTCTTTTCTTTTTTCCCGGGGAAACCATCGTGAGGTTGCGTGCTCATCGTGAGGTCGCTCGGTTAGCGCTAGGAGGGGGACCATCGAGTACCTTTGCCTCTCCTCTCGCCTTCCTCTGCGCCTGTCGTCCGCCTCGTGGCACTCCCGGAGATAAGGCCAGGGGCATGTTTTGAGGAGGAGCACAGGGAGGAGGAGGAGGAGGAGGAGGAGGAGGAGGAGGAGGAGGAGGAGGAGGAGGAGGAGGAG